AATAATAATAATAAACTCCACTGATCTGTGTTGTAAGTGTGATTTCTGTATGATTCCAATCGCATTTTATAGTCAAAATCAGCAAATTTGCCGAGCTCCGCTACGGGAGCGATGAGAAGTGAGGCAGGCACGAGCACTGCCTCTCGTAAGCCCACAGTAACTTGCTGGAGCACGGGCACTAATTTAGCGCGGCCACTTATTTTGTGAGCGCGCTCAAGCCATTTACTGTGGGTTGACGCATTCTCAGGTGAGGCACAGATGAGCCCTGCCTCAATTCAGAATGCTTCACCCCACAGAAACTGGCTGGAAAGCGGGCCCTAAGCGCATGCCTGTTACCATCTCACTGTAGGTCACCAATGTAATGTTTGTAGATCCCTTTATTACATTTATCCTCGCCATCCATAGTCTCTAAATAACTTATTTCACGTATATATGATATTTATGCTCGCTGGTCTCATCATACAACGGCAATGAAAAAAATCACAAGGGGAGGCAGCCATAACCTCTGCCGCACTGAAGGGGGCGCACGTGAGCCCACAGGTTCTTGTTGCTACTGTTATTCTACCGCAAACAACAAAGAAACTAGACTTTTGAAACTACAGGAAGATAAGGAGGACTTTTACAAAACAGTAATAGAGATTGTTGTCCAGAAGGATAGCATGGACTTATATTCATCTTCAAGTCAAGGTAAGACCACAACTGTAATGAAAATGGGATCTTACTTAGAAAGAACAATCCAATATTTAGATTTTGGGTATCCTTTTGTTGATCGGTCTGTTTAAAATTAATCATAGCATCAGACTAAAAAAGCTTTTGAAAATAACAGAATATTTCGATTAAGGTCAAAATAGGCTATAATATTTGTAAATCTGACTCTGAAAGAGTCAGCGCCTCACCAGCCATGAACCTCACCGCACGTCACTGGTGTACTGCTGCTGGCCGCTGTAGCAGTTGATGCCGGTGTTCCGGATTAACTGGTTCCCCGATCAACTGGGGCACAGATGTGAGGGGCGTGGCCTTCGACTGAAATACACATTTCGATCGCTTCTTCTGTCGTTTACATAAATGTTTTGGTATATTTGGCTCGGTAGGAAGACTTTGATGCACATTCAGTACCAGTGTGTGAGGTTGTGGTTACGATGGCGATATCCGGACGCGAACAGCGAGGACTACAAAAAAAGAAACGAGTTGACTGGGGATGTCTGTTCAAAACATTGCGAGCTCCAATAAATCATTTAAACCAGCTATTGTTGCCAGAGTTATTACTGATTATCGTTCTTAATGTGATACCAAGTCCATCTGAGACCTGTGTACACCTTCAGATAGCCTCCAAGTGAAGCGTACGTTGTTTACTCACAGTTTGAAAGCAGCGTGGAGAACTCCTCAGCTGTGGTAAGCTGTGATCCGCTCCAATAAATCATTAAAACCAGCTATTGTTGCCCGATTTATCACTGAATATCGTTCCTAATGTGATACTAAGTCCATCTGAGACCTGTGTACACCTTCAGACAGCCTCCAAGTGAAGCACACGGTGTTTACTCACAGTTTGAAAGCAGCGTGCTGGAGAACACTTCATCTGTGTTAAATTGTGACCCGCTCAGGTAAACGGCGATTGATTGATTGATTGAAAAGTTTATTAACAGCTTGTATATTGGGTACAGTACAGTACAGCTCAAAACATACAATTGTTAAGGGAATGCAGACCAGAGAAAGACTTTCGTCTTGTTTACATCAGGGTCCCCCATTTCCAATTCATCATATCATTTAAGACATATAAGACATATTTGACATACAGATGGCTTATTTACAATTTACATACAGGTGGTTTTTTTACATACAGATGGCTTATTTACAATTTTCATTTTAGATTTCGTTCTAATACATCCTAACCGGACATTTAAGACATACCAAGTCTACAGATATACAGTTAGTAACAGAGTCTAAAATGCGAGTATATACATAGATGGGGGGGGGAAGCTGTCCATTGTACGACAGGTTGAGATTTGTACCATTACCGGGGCCAGTTTTGCAATGCTTTCCCCCGAAGGTGCTCTTTAAGAGAGGTTTTGAAGGTAAGTATAGTTTTACTTTCCTTTACAGTTGTGGGAAGAGCGTTCCACCTTGATGTGGCATAATTGCGAAACGTGTATTCCCCTTTTTTTGTGCCAAATCTGGGTTTTACATGATTTGTGGAGCTCCCTCTGGTGTTATGATCATGGTATTCCTTGACCTTTGGGAAGAATTTTGACATGTACATGGGTACCATAGAGGTGTAGTGGATCTTGTAGACCAGGCCCATTGCAAGTAGCTGTACTCTGTCGTCTACTCTAAGCCATCCTAGGTTGTCAAAGTGGGCAGAGGTGAGGTGGGTTCTAGATGAAAGGTCAAGCAGTAGTCTGACCAGTTTATTTTGCGATGTTTGAAGTTTTATTTTTAGCGCCTTGGAGGTGCTATGGTACCATGACGTGCAAGCATAGTCATAGTACCCTTGAATGAGTGCTCCTGCCAGAGTTTTCAGGGTGTTTTTGTTTACCAGAGAGGAGATCCGGTATAGGAATCTAGTTCTTTGATTGACTTTTTTATTACATTGGATGCCATTTTGTCACAGGAGAGGTTTGCCTCAAGAATAGATCCTAGGTATGTAATTTCCTTCTTACTTGTGACAATAATGTCACCCACTGCAACTGAGAAGTCGTCGGATTTGCTGAGATTATGTTTCGAACCGAAGAGAATGGACTCTGTTTTACCCAGGTGTAATGATAATTTATTATCGGCGAGCCAGGTGCAGATTCTGCCGAGCTCGGAGCTGAGGGTTTTTTCAACCTGCAATCTGCTCCTGTCAGAGACCAGCAGGGCTGAGTCGTCCGCGAACAGGAACAAGTTGCAGTCACATGCTGATGACATGTCATTTGCATAAATTAGGAACAGTAACGGACCGCCCAGGGAACTGGGACCCGCCCATGTTAAACTGTTATCCACCCAGGTTAAACTGTGTTAAGACTTCTGTGGCTATCTACCAGCGATCATGTTTAATATGAAAGACTACACACACATTTATCCCTTATAAAAACAGTATTCTGCAGCACTCATCCAGATAAGATGTGACTGTTAACTCGTTTTACAAAGATAGCAGCAGAAATGTCATTGCTGCATGTGCAGGGATACTTAGACTTTAAAATGCTGATGGGTCATTAATGTTGGTCTCGGCAAACAATAGTAGGAGTCCTCTATTCAAACGTAATATTCAGTGTGTAGCGACATGAAAATAACAAAAAAGTTCATGCTGGACTCAAACCCGAATCCCAACAGCAAATTTCACTCCAGCCCTACGCGTTATGAGTGCGCCACGGACCCAACACGATACCTTCTGGAGAATCATAAACTAAATCATTGTGTTGAAAACACTGACGTCAATTACATTGCATTTACTAGACGCTTTTATCCAAAGTGTTTCTAGCGCAACAGCTTTGATCCAGGTTTACATCCTATCAGCTTCTGCATTAGCAGACATAGCAACAGGAAATGGGGGGCCTATTTAAAAAGTTTGTGTTTAAAAATGTCTATATTGTGAGGCTAAATATTATATTATAGCATAATGTTGCATGGCAAATGTAACAACACACATGGCCTGATTTGCATATTGGAACTTTATGTGTGCACTAGAACACATTTATATGTACAATTAAAAGTTATCACAACATAATGTGGGCTCGCAGGCTGATAAACTAGGATATCTGATCTCGGTGGGTCTTAATGAGGCTTGATACAGACCTTAGTCAGTAGCCTATACTATTTCTAAGCAAATGCCTACTATAATATGTATATTATAAGTGTAGATACATTCGCTCACATAATAAATGATGGTCGGGTTGCATCTTTCTGGAACTTTTTAACAAGGTTATAATGCAATATATTAAAGTCTAGTGGTGTAACACTTTGAGTAGATCAGTGGCGCACTAGTAAAGCGCAGGGCCCGAGTGAAATTTGCTGTTGGGATTCGGGTTTGAGTCCAGCATGAACTTTTTTGTTATTTTCATGTCGCTACACACTGAATATTACGTTTGAATAGAGGACTCCTACTATTGTTTGCCGAGACCAACATTAATGACCCATCAGCATTTTAAAGTCTAAGTATCCCTGCACATGCAGCAATGACATTTCTGCTGCTATCTTTGTAAAACGAGTTAACAGTCACATCTTATCTGGATGAGTGCTGCAGAATACTGTTTTTATAAGGGATAAATGTGTGTGTAGTCTTTCATATTAAACTTGATCGCTGGTAGATAGCCACAGAAGTCTTAACACAGTTTAACCTGGGTGGATCACAGTTTAACATGGGCGGGTCCCAGTTCCCTGGGCGGATCGCCGTTTACCTGAGCGGGTCACAGTTTAACACAGATGAAGTGTTCTCCAGCACGCTGCTTTCAAACTGTGAGTAAACACCGTGTGCTTCACTTGGAGGCTGTCTGAAGGTGTACACAGGTCTCAGATGGACTTAGTATCACATTAGGAACGATATTCAGTGATAAATCGGGCAACAATAGCTGGTTTTAATGATTTATTGGAGCGGATCACAGCTTACCACAGCTGAGGAGTTCTCCACGCTGCTTTCAAACTGTGAGTAAACAACGTACGCTTCACTTGGAGGCTATCTGAAGGTGTACACAGGTCTCAGATGGACTTGGTATCACATTAAGAACGATAATCAGTAATAACTCTGGCAACAATAGCTGGTTTAAATGATTTATTGGAGCTCGCAATGTTTTGAACAGACATCCCCAGTCAACTCGTTTCTTTTTTTGTAGTCCTCGCTGTTCACGTCCGGATATCGTCATCGTAACCACAACCTCACACACTGGTACTGAATGTGCATCAAAGTCTTCCTACCGAGCCAAATATACCAAAACATTTATGTAAACGACAGAAGAAGCGATCGAAATGTGTATTTCAGTCGAAGGCCACGCCCCTCACATCTGTGCCCCAGTTGATCGGGGAACCAGTTAATCCGGAACACCGGCCCCCCCCGCTGCCGCCTTTCCCCGGTCCTCGTTCCACCTCGTGAGCCCCTCCAACAGTAACATTTGGAGGAATGTCCCCCTCGCAGAGGAGCCTGCAACATGACACACAAACGTCAGGATTTTACACCCAGGGAGAGAGAAAGTGTAAAACTCTTAGAGCACGGTGCCTCACCCGGGATGAACCTGTGGAGGTGCAGGTGGAAGGACTCCAGGGACGTGGAGCCGCGGGCACAGCGGTAGACGGGCAGAGACACCCCCCCCCGGGTCAGCTGTCCCGTCTTGGTGTACAGGCAGAGACCAGCAGGATCCTGAAGGGGAGAGGCTCTGATTATTCAGTGTCTGAATTCATGTCTGAACATGAAACATGTTGAATTGTTTCCTGTAAGAGCTGTACCTGAATGCAGGGGATGTGATGCCTCTGTGTCTCCAGGATCTCCTCCATGCGGCGTCGGTCCAGCAGGGGGACGTTCATGGCATCGGTGGCCCCCTTGAACGCCTCCACCGCCTCTCCAAGGAGACGCTCGGTCTCCTGAGCCCCACGCGTGCGGCGGCGGCAGTGCCGACCCAACTCCTTGCTGGACGGCGTCCTTCTGGACCCGCCCGCCTGCAGGGCCGTCTCCAAGAGGGACAGGTCCTCCGGGTCCCACTCGAAGATGCAGCTGGAGAGACGCCGCATGAACTCGGGGTAGAGGGGGTGGCTCTCGGAGGTCACGCCTACTGCCAGTCGGCGTATAAAGTGCCAGATGTCCAGCCTGACAGCCAGGCGTGGCCAGGCGGGGAAGAGAGCAGCTGCAGCGCAGGTGCCTCCGTCCCTCCGGCAGCAGTCCCTGTCCACATACAGGACCTGTGGAGGCTCCTTCCCTGCCAGCTGGTACCGGTTCTGCAGGCCCTGCGCCATGTCTCTCAGGCCGTAGCCCTCAGCGGCCGTCAGCACGGACATCAGGACCTGCCCCAGCTCGTTCCCCACGCTGCTCATCCACAGAGCGGTACCAGCGTCTGCTCCCGCCAGCTTCTTGGTCACCTGTGTCAAATGATCATATAATCATTTAAAAAAAACATATAGTCTTATACTCTGATTGCCTTTTACACTGTTACATTGTATTGTTAGTCTTGAATCATTTATCAGTTTCTCTTAAGACGTTCCTCCACAACCTGCAGGGGAGAAGAGGGTCTCCTCCATCAGTCAGGGTGCAGCCATGACACCTACAGTGTACATAAGTAACATTACATTTCTCACCTTCTTGGTGGAGTCCATTTTGAGAATGGAGCCAAAGGTAGAGGTCACCTTGGCCTTCAGCTCCTCGATCCTCGTAAAGGACTCCAGGACGAAGGTGGACAGAAGCCAGCCGCTGCTGGGGACAGGCACCATCTGTGGTGGAGGCTGAGGAGGTGGCATCTGCACACCTGCAACCACAAACTTCCTGCAGGTGTTTAGGTAGTGGATGCTCCTCGTCATCCACTCTGTCGTGTGCTGCTCCACCAGGTAGGAGTGCAGCCGGCTGGCGCTGTTGTCCAGCGTGCGCCCCTTCAATTGAGCCAGCACACTCCGGTCACAAGAGAGCCTGCAGCACAAACACAGACGCAGAGGTGAACACTAAACCATCTCAATGTCCTTCAAACACCACTGTGTCCAACAGCGTGATGTTTACCTGTAGGTCAGCACAGCAGGGAAGAGCAGCTGGTGGTCCAGGTCCAGCTGGCTCCTGATGTTCGCTGCCCAGCCGGCACACTTCTTTGTGCAGGAGCTGGGACAGAAAGGTGTATTGGTGTATCTGCTACTACTGCTACTTATAGTTATAATCATAACAAAAAGTACTTGTATTATTTTACAATGTCTATTTAACCAAAGCATCAAGCACACAGAGTATGCTTGTAAATGTATCAGTACCTGCACTCCAGGTACTCCGACCCCATGTAGTACCAGCCGTTGGTGTCCAGAACTCTGCGCACGGTCTTGTAGAGACCACTACCCGTCATCTTGTGTGCGCAGCTTGGGCACTTCAGGTGGTACTGCCACATTTTGTTCGGCGCCCAGAAGAAGAAGGGCCGCTGGAAGAAAGCATCTGGGGAGGAGGGCCGCTGGTGGTACTTCAGCCGGGGGCCGGGGGGGTGGTGCCACAGCTGATAGTCCGTGGACAGGACGGGCCACCCTGACTTGTAGCCCACAAACAGAGCCCTGCTGACCCACTCGTGCTGCTCTGCAGGGAGGCTGCTCCTCCAGGCTGCCGGCAGGAGCAGCTGCAACACACACACAGGTCACTGAGCTGCAGCTTCACACTACACACTGATACTAGATGTTTACAACAACATTATTACAGACCTGAGGGGGAGGAGCGACGAGTTGAAGAGGAGGTGGTGCCAGAGCTCTCTGCTGCTGGGCAGGACGAGGAGGCGGCGGAGGAGCAGGAGGAGGAGGAGGAGGAGGAGGAGGAGGAGGAGGAGGAGGAGGAGGAGGAAGAGGTGGAGCAGATGCTGTGCACAGCAGAAAAACACACTTGACATACCAAATAGATTTGATTATACAAAGCTTAATAATGACTCGAAGCACAGACTTACCTAAAGCAGCCTCCACCTGAGCCGCAGCCTCCACCATCAGATGGTCGTCTTCGTCCTCTGAGGAAGTGGAAATGTTCACTCATCACACATCACCTGACTGACAGTAACACTCCACTGACATGATACATACACAGGACCACTGGCTTTCTCTTCCTCCGCTGTTTGGGGGGAGATGTAGTGGAGGGGGAGACAGCTGAGGAGGTGGCGGCTGCTGATGCAGCTGAGGAGGCGACAGACTGCTTCTCCTTGTCCCTTCTGTCTATGTAGTCCTTCAGCTGCCCCAGTTGGGACCTGAGCCACTTCCTGTACCTGACATTGAGATTGAGAGGCAACAGTTAGATTGATATCACATCAAGTGTTTCTACAGCTAGTGATGAAAGTCACACATGGCCTTACGTGCTTGGCTCCCTCTCTGCAGTGTCGTACAGGTCCCTGTACGTCATGGCTGACCAAGTCCCAAAGCCCACCAGCTGCTCGTGCTCTGCAGCCGTGCGCGGTGCTCTCTTCCTGCTCACGGCTGCCATCACTAGGGCGAAGAGGCTGGCGTACTCCAGCAGAGCATCTTTGTTCCACATGAGGGGGGTGCTGCTGACATCCCCCCCCCCTCACGCTCTCCCTGATGGCCTGCCAGAATGGTTGCCGTGTAGCCCACGTCATTTGACAGCAACCACTGGAGAGTCTGGCCCCGGTACTGACCAAACTGGAGCTCGGTCTGGCTGAGGAGCTGCCAGCGGTCCACCGGGTTGCCCCCCAGCGCTGTGACCCTTGACACAGCTTGTGCCTCAGCCACCTCCCTGGTGTCGGAGGTGAGGCGCGGGGCTGCCCTCTTCAGATTGTGTTTCGAGACTTTGCCAGCTTCTGTGCTGGCCATCAGCTGCAGGTCTGATGTACCAGCCTGGAACGCGAAGGACGGTTTGTGATCCATTGTTCTGAAATCACATCAAACACACGTCAGAAGCTAGCAGGCAAGTACTTCACAAGTACATGTCACATCAAACACACGTCAGAAGCTAGCAGGCAAGTACTTCACAAGTACATGTGAAGTACAGCAAACACCTTGAACCTTTAACCTAGCTAGCATACAAACAAAGCCTCTCTTTGGATGAGATGGACCTTTGAATTCAGGTGTTGCAGCAGGAGAGAAACACAGATAGTACACAGGAAGAACAGTCTGAATAGAAATAAGAAAAATAACATGAGTAAAACCTGGTTCTGATTGAAAAGAGAATGCTATCTTAGTGCTATCATGTAATAATGTAATAATGTAATAATGTTAGACAACACTTTTCCATCAGCTCAACAGTAACCTCAGAGGTCTGACTTTAAATGAATGATGGCCTTCATATAAATGTTAACTTTATTAAATAGCCAAGTGTCTATGACTGTTAACCCTCCGTCCACATCTGTGAACGGATGTAAGCATTAACTTCATGAACATATACGTTAGTGCAAAGTAAAAAGCGTTACGTGTTTGCATCTAGCAAAGTGCAGGAGCAATGCATGTTGTTGCCGCAGTTCTAAGACTACATGGCGGAGTGGCAGCTTTTAATCACGAATGGTGCATATAAATGTTAACTTCATAAACATTAGCACATAGTAATAAGCATTAAATGACAAGTATTTATGGATTTCAACGGCCAGAAAGCTCCGGTGTGTTGCCGGCGTAAAGCCTCGGTTTAGCGGAAACTTTTTACCAATGCGAATATGCGCGAACGTTAAAAGACAACACATTGGCATTCATCTACTGTAATAGCAGAGGACAACAAAATACATTCCCATTCATCTGTTACTGTTATATTACATTATAACGGACTGTCTAGCGGAGGGTATCTTACCTTTTCAAAAACCTCTCAGTTGTAAATGATGCCTGGAAACTTTCAGTGAAAACTCCTCCCCGCTCCTCCCCGTTTCAATGAAACGTCAGTGGGACAACCAATGGGTGGACACAAGATTAAAGTGAGAATGCCATAAGAAATGAACGGGAGGGGCGGGGCTAAAGTGGGACTGAGCAGCCCCGATTATCCTCGCCCCCTGGACGCAAAGGATACTGCCCATTCTTCTCTATGAAGCAGGGGGGCAAGGAGAGGAAAGTGGGCCCAAAAAGTGAAAAAAAAAAAAAAATGTGGGGAGCGGAAGGTCCGCGGTTCGATCCCCAGCTGTGGCAGAGATGAGGAAGAGCTGAAGAGATGATGACAGCCAGCACTGACTGACACATAGTGACTCTAAAACAGGGGGTTTAAATTAAAGGGTATAAATTATAAATATATAAATGTATATTCTGTGAAAAATTCACACATTTCTCACAAACTGAGCAGCCAAAGGGTTTCTCTCCTGTGTGGATTTAGATCTCTTCTATGTCTAAAAGCTTTCTTACAGACTGAGCAGCTGAGTGGTTTCTTTTCAGCACTACGTCGTGGATCACTGACAGATTCTTGTCTATTTTTCAGTGACTTTGAGCCTGAGGCAGGTTCTCTGGTCTCCTTCCAATCAGCACTGTGTTCAGCGTCAGGTTCAGAAGAGTCTCCAGTGTCGTCCTCAGTCTTTGGTTGTAAACTGCTCTCTGGATCTGAGTTCGAGGAGGAGGAGGGGCAGCCATGAGAGCCAGCACTGACTGACACATAGGTGCGTTCACACCGGAGTACTTTGGTGTACTTTTCCCACAATAGTTCATCAGAACTACGATATATTTGCGTTCACACCAAAAAGCCCCAGGAACTAAATTAGCTCAACTTAGTTTGTGAGACTCGCTTATCAGTCCCTGCTACAGAGCAGGGTCTGTTGTGGGAGAAAGTAGTTCGTACGTCTGATTGGCTGTGCGGAATGCAAACCACGCCCCGTACAACTCCTGAAAAGTTGTATAAAGTAGCCATTTTACTTGCACGCATTAAAATCTCAGCGTAGCAACGAAGAGATATTTTTTTTGCAAAACCAGCAGTTGGCATTATGACAACACCGAAGAGATCAGTGGAGCGATGGACCGATGATGATGTTTCGGCGCTTCTTGATATCTACGCGGACGACGCGATCCAGGCACTTCAGCTCAAGGCAGTTTCCAACGCGAAAATGTATGAGTGCATTTCGCAGGAGTTAGCGGCCATCGGGATCATTCACGGCGCTAAATCATGCCGGCACAAGATCAAGAAGCTTAAGCAGGACTTCAAAAAAATAAAAGACCACAACAACAAGAGTGGTAACGGTCGGAAAACCAGCAAGTGGTATGATCGTTTGAATGCTTTGCTTGGCCACAGACCGTCATTCCGCGGCACCGCGAAGACCATCGATTCGAGCACGACGGGGTGGGAGGATGCAATGGCGGGGGAATTGTCCAAGGAAGACGACGAATTAGGTAAAATATACTACATGCACTGCACTGTTTTAATCTGCACAATAATGGTCACATATGTACTTCTAAGGCTCGGTAGATCGAGCTAGCCATGCTCGGCTGAATTGGCTAACAGCTAGCTAGCTAATCTCGGCCGCTATCTCATTTGCTTCACTAACTCATGGCACTAATCGAATGTAAAATATACTACATGCACTTTACTGTTTTAATCTGCACAATACTGGTCTCAGATGTACTTTTATTTGCTCGGTAGATTGAGTTAGCAATGCTAGGTTGAATTGGGTAACACTGTTAGCAGGCCACAACATAGCTAGCTAATAACAGCTAGCTAGCTCACTAGCTATTCTTCCGCTATAAAAACGTTTTGACTTGTGAATAAGTGTGCCATGTTCTGTAATTTGCTTCACTAACTCATGGCACTAATCGTGTGTTTCAGGCAACGTGGTGTTTCCCCTGGAATTGGAAATCAGTGAGCTTTCCCCTCCGGAAATCCACGGTAGTGCCTCCTCATCTCCCTTTCCAACAACCAGACGCAAAGGTACATATAAACACACTGTAACTACTCTGGCCTTGAAAGAAGGTTACGCATCGAACTGATGTCCACTAATCACGTTTATTTATTTCTTGGTACAATCATGAAACACCGTGAACATACATCGTTTACACTTTTCGCGCCCTTTTCACTCTCTCACAAACGTAAACATCCGGGGCTAGAGGTCACATGACTTCCGGTAAGAAAGCTCTTAATCATTTTTTGACAAAATAAAATTCTAGCATACATCAAGCACAAAACAATAAATAAGGGCACTTTGAGCGTCAGCTATTTGATCCTATCTTATATTAGCTAGTAAACACATTCCTAGTAAGTTGTAAAACTACTTATTTCTCCTATTAGGAAAGAGGACACAGGATGACCGCTTCCTGGACACCATCACGGCGATGGATGACCGGCGTGCCTTGGCCAGCACGGAAAATGAGGACCGGCATGCCATGGCCAACAAGGAGATGCAAGACGAACGGCTGCTGCATGATCACAAGGCCCAGGAATCGCAGGACCAGCTCTTAAAGGTGATGGCTGACTCGGCGGAGGTGGCGGCGCGCCAGGTGGAGGTGGCGGCGCGCCAGGTGGAGGTGGCGGCGCGCCAGGTGGAGGTAGCGGCGCTCCAGGTGGAGGTAGCGGCGCTCCAGGTGGAGCAACAAAATAGCTTTCAGGCTGGGCTTCTGGGAGTGCTAAGCGAGCTGGTTAAATCCAACAGGCCTACAATTAAAAAGAAAAAAAAAACTTGTCGTCGTTAGTCAACTATAGAATGACTTGTTGGGAGGCGTGTGGCGCAGTGGCTGAGTGCGTTGGTGTTCGGATCAGGGGAGCAGAACAGGTTCAAACCCCACTGCAGTCAGCATGTCGTTGTGTCCCTGGGCAAGACACTTCACCCCAAATTGCCTACATCTGGGACAGTACATTTTGTATTATTGTAATATATATATATATATATATAT